AAAAAAAAAAAAAAAAAAAAAAAACAACACACAAAGAAAAGAAAAAAAAGAAACCTCTTTGTGCAGTTTGACTTAGTGCAAATGGGCGACTTGACTCAGGCACTTCCCGGAGCGGCGCCCCCAAACCCTGCACGGACAGGGCAGGGCAACCCCTCCTTTTTTTTTTTAAAAAGTTACAAAGTCTTAAAAAAAAAAACAACCTCACCCTGGGGAGTGGGAGGCGACCAGGCGCCGCCTCAGCCCTTGGTGCCCCCCGGATCCACACACCGAGGGGAAGGGGAAAGGACGGGGCAAAGGGAGCCAAGGGGCTGCTGCTGATCTAGGTGGAAAAGCTCGGCGGGAAAAGGGCACGAGCTCTCGCAGGCACAGCCGGGTCTTGCCGACAGGTGCTGGTACCCGCCCCGGGGCCTTCTGACGCACCCCGTCTGCTCCAACCCACAGGGCTCCCCGCAGGGATGGGGCAGATCCCGGCTCCTCGAAACCCAGATTTAGAAGAGACGCCACCGAACATGAGGCTGCGTCAGGTCCATTCTTCCGCTTTCAATAATGGAAGTGGGGCAAGGCTCCAAAGCAAAATTACAGCCGGGAAGGCAAGGGCCTGTCTCCCCTCCCCACCTAGACAGCCATCAGACCCAGGCCTATTCTCCTCCCTTCCAAAGGGCTGCAGGGTCCCCGTCTCCCAGCCTGAGCCAGCAGTTTCCAAACCCAGATGGACCCCCCAGCTGTGCCCAGACTGGCTCCCTGGAGGCACCCGGGCAGGAGGAGGAGTGGGAACGTAGTGGCAGAAATGAGGGGGAGGAAATAGCTTATCTGAAAGGAAAGAGAAAGAGCTCGGGGGTGTCAGCGAGCGCGTGCACATAAAGCTTCTGCCAGGCCGAGGCTGGACGCGGGCAGGGGGAGATGGGGCGCAAGGGGAAGAACGCGGCTAGGGCCCAGCCCACGAGAGGCTGCAAGCCTGGCCGCCGCTGCGCACGTTCCTCCTTTTTAGAGGACCCCCCATGTCCTTTCACACCCGCTCTGTCCTCTCCGGCTCCTCAGGGCAGTGCAGGGCCGAGGGCTCCCTTCCCTGAGTCTGGCCCGTTGCTGTCAAGGCCCCCGGGGGGCAGAGAGCAGGAGACGAGGCTCCAAAGGCACTTGAAGTGCAAAAAAAAAAAATTAAAAAAAAAAAATGTGCAAGGAGGAGGAGGAAGAGGAGGAGTCGCTGCTGACTTCCCAGAGCCCGGAGGTCCCAGCAGGGCGCTGCTCAGTCGACGAAGCGCTGGCAGGCTTTCTTCCACCGGCACGCCGTGCACCACATGTCCCGGTTCTCCATGCCATACACCTTGCGACACTTCTTGGCCTCCCCACGGGGTTTCCTAGGAGAGAACAGCAAGGCCCATCAGTCAGGGCCACAAGTCCAGGTCTTGGCACCAGAGATGGGGACTGATGCCAGAGCTTCGCCAAGTTGTGGCAGAGGTGGCTGGTTTGAGACCTGTGCTTTCCCCTCCTCTGCCCTTGCAAGGACATTTTGCAGCCTTTGAGAGCCCTGGCCTCAATGAAGCCACAGGGGTGGGAGGCGATGCACCACCGCAGCTGGGCATCAGCTCCCTCAGGCAAAAGGCAGTGGCACCGGGTGCGCCGGACCCCGAGGACCAAACCCTGCAGTGATGCGCATTAGTGCACGCCTGCCAGCTCCTGGCACAGCTGCATGTCAAGGACATCTGCAGAGGAGGTCTTCCCCACAGCCGAGTCCCCTCCCAGCCTCACTCCTCTCGTCACAGGGGCAGCCGAAAGGGCTGGACCTCTGCCTCTGGAACATGCCAACGAGAGCGATGCGCGAAGCGATACATGTCCAGGGCGAAGCCAGTCCTCAATGCCCACGCAGCCCCCGCCTCCCTGAGCCCAGCTGCCCCAGAGACACCGATGTGCATTCACCTGGCACCACTGCAGTGGGCACTACACATCAGGCCTGGCCTCCAGGACTGATAAGGAAGGAGCCCCCCTGGCCTGCACTGAGGCCCAAGACCAGCATCGGTGGCCAACTGCAATTTCTGCCCCACACTCCCCAAATCACACACGGCCAGGGACAAGGCATCAGCCCTGCCCAAGGCTGCCCCATGGCCCAGGACTGCCGTCGGGGGGCTGGAGAGAGCACGGAGACGGCACTGTGACCTGCGGCCGTGGGCCCAAGCAGCTTCCTGCCCACCTGAAGCTGGGGCTGGGTAAGATGGAAAACTCACACACCTGAGGCATCCAGCTGCCCACGGGTGCGGGTCCTCCGCAGGCTGGCAGACACAGCCGGCTGGGGAAGCACCAGGGATGGCTTATCGCTGGAGCCACCGTGTCAAATAGCCATGAGGTGGCTTCCGGCTGCAGTCACGCAGGAAGCAACACGTTAGTTCCCGCTGGCAGCATCTCAACTCACCTTGTCCCAGAGGCCGGCTTCGGTGCAGCGGGGGCCGCTGGCACGTGCGGTTTGATGACGGGCAGGTGAGGGATCTGCGGCCGCTTCTCTCCCACTCCAACGGGCCGGATCGCAGTCAGGCAGCCCTGGGGAGAACAACTCACCGTGAGACCGGGGCATGGATGGCGCATGCGGGCAGACCGCTGCCAAAGCCGGGCTGATGGTACAGACTGAATCCAGGGTAGCAACACAGGCCTGTGCACACAGAAGGGCAAAGCTCCCGCCTGAAAAACCGAGCAGCCAGAGCCAGTGAGAGCACGGCACAGAGGAGAAATCCACATCCCAGGGATGCAGCTCGGCAGTGACTGCCTGCAGGGTAGGACCCGGAGGACACGGCCCATGTCCCGAGCCAGAGCTGGCTATGGCTGAAGGAAGATGGGGTCTGCTCCATCCTCCAGCTGACGACGACGCCCCCTCCCTCCCCAAGCAGGAGGCGGCACCAGGCAAGCAGGGACGTGGGCTGATGGCAGCAGGGAAAGCAAGCCTAGAACAGAGCCACAGCAGTTGTGGCCAGGAGGTTGGGGACCACTCCAGGTCCCACCCAGGTTCCTATAGATTAGATGCTCTGCTAGATTAGATGATCCTGCCTCAGGCAGGGGGTTGGACTAGTTGTGACCTCTGGAGTCCAACCCCAGTGCTCTAGCATCCTACCTCCCAGCTCCTAAGGCTGGTGATGACAGCAGGGACTCCTGGGTTCTTCTCCCAGCTCTGCCCTAGGCGGAGACCACCACCGGCCTCAAAGGAGCCCCGAGCTCCCTGGACAGACAGTGCTGCACTAGTCTGAGCATCACAGATCAGACCTGAGGGTCCAGGCCAGCTGACAGGGGCCACATCCTAGCCCAGCCTTCTTCCTCTGAGCCCCTTGGAAGCAGCACTTCTCACACCGCAACGCACCCCTGCCCAGCGCATCGCCAGCCGCACCATGAAGCCAAACCCAGTTTGCCTAACACGGGATTTGGGCACCTCTGCCCCGAAGCATGACAGCTCTGAACACAAACAGGTTGCTGGTCCAAGCAACACCAGCCCTCCTTGTCTGGGGGGCGCGGATAGGAACCGCACCCCCCTGCAAAAGCTCAGCAGCTTCTGTGAAACTCAGCTCGGGCTGCCAAGAGGCAAAATGCAAACCTTCCCAGGTTTGGGCACCGACCACTGCTGAATCCTCCTGGCCAAGCTGCTGGCACTTCCCTGATGGATGCAGAGCACCCTACTCTGAGTGCACGCCATGCTGGCACCCCCAGAACAGGAGCCCCACGGGTCCCGGGCAGCACTCTGTGCCACTCAGGGGTGCACTCACTGCAGTGCCTGCACCTCCCACTAATGCAGCCAGCCAGAAAGCCTGGCCTACTCTTCCCTGCCAGCCAGGCCCTGCAGAGGGGAGAGGGTGCCATCTGCTTACTCACCGGGGACCCTTTAAAAACAACCGGTGCCTGTGGCGATGGCTGCTGCCAGGAGATGCTGAATCCCAACCCACCAGGCAGGGTTTTCGAGACGGCCGAGATGCTCACGGGAGCCGTTGCCTGAAAGCCACAAATGTAACCGGCAAAGGATGAGACAGCTGGGCACTGTGTGGCCATGGAGAGCTGGGAAGGGGTGGGGAGGGAGGGAAGGTCTTGCCCCCACGGCCCCAGAAAGCAACGGGCTACTTTGCCAGCAGCAGCAACTCCCGGCGGGAACAGTGCAGGGGCAGAGGCAGGTGCTCAGAGGGGATGACAGCCTGGCTAAGCTGAGCAGGCCTCACAGGCCACGGTGCCCTGCAGCGCTCAAAACAGGCCTCTGAGGCACCTTGGTGGGGTGGGGAGAGATCCAAGTCCACCTAGAGCTGGGCATGGAAAGCCCTTGGGCCCCTGCTGACACTGGATGTTTGGGTTTGCACAAGCAGAGTGGTGTGCGGCGACACAGGGGCTGTTCTGCTGCTCCAGTGTCCCACTGACACGTGACAGGCGCTGGCAAGGAAAGAGCTGCAGCCCCCGAATGCTGGACACAGCAGGCTAGGAAAGCCTCTCCCGCAAGCCCAGCCAGCAAGCACCAGCCCTTTGAACGTCCACCCTGGGTACCAGCACAGCTCCGGAAGTCCATCGCATGCCCTCTCTCTGCCTACTCTCTCTGCTGGACTTCGACTTCCCCCACGTTTTTACAAGCACTCTCCTGGATTCAGATCACATGGACAGGCTCCTGCCATCCTGCTCATGGACACAAAGCTGGGAAGCAAACCCTCCCAACACTGGCCAGCCTCGCTCCAGCCCACCGGACAACAAGAGAAGAGCTAGAAGCCCAGAATGAGCGAGCTGGTTCTTGCAGTGGCGAGTCCCACAGGTGCCTGCGGTCAGCAAGGGCAACTCCTTGCCAACACCCCCACCAGAGTTTACAGCCGCGCAGCTAAGTCTGCAGCACGGCGCAAGGACACAGATGTTCCCCAGCCTGCATGGGTGGAAGCCGACATGAGTGCCAGCTGCAAAGGCTCATTGAAGTTTGCCGAGCAGGGTCTGGGGCTCCAGCAGCACCAACAAACAGCACGTGGAAAATACTCCCTGCCCAAGAGCCCCTCCGAGCCAGGACCAAGGCAGGAGGCAGCCGCATGCTGATCTGGGCAATGCCCCATGGTGTTTTGCCTCTGGCCAAGGGGCCCCGACCTCCCAGCCCTTCCCACCCATGCCCAGCCCATCCCTCCCCATGCATCTCACCTGATAGGCGTGGTCAGTTTGGACGTGGCACAAGTTCGTGGGCGCTGAGTGGCTGAGGGGAGACACCAGGGAAACCTCAGGTTTCACCAGCAGGGGCGGTGCAGTCTGCACCTCCGGGACGGGGAAGGCCGGGGGCACCGAGGAGGTTGGGGACACAGGGGTGAGGCTGGATAGCCCATCCGTCAGGGAGTCCACGTTGACATCCAGCTCTGTGTAGTAGAAGTCCTCCTCGCCATCGCTCTGGTCCAGGTCAGCTTTCCGGCTGGGTGAGGGAAAACAGAGATGGGTGTCGGAGGCAACCCCTAACTTTGCGGGTCCCAGGCTGGCAGCTGTGAACACGCCTGGACAACCCAGTAACGGCAGCAAGAGAGGCGGCGCTGGGGCCTGGGGACAGGACAGCTCAGAGCTCTCTAGGAGCAGACGACGACGGGACCTCTTTCCAGCCAGACAGGGCTCCAGAGTGGAGGGCACATAGGCAGGAAGAGCACTGTGAACTGCCAGCCAAGCATGCGAGAGATCCAAGGAGGGAGGAAAGCCCTGCTGGAAACAGAGCAGGGAGCTCCAGCACAGCCCGGGGGGGGGAGGACACCACTGACCCCCTCCAAGTTCCTCAGGTGCCGGTGGCCCCTGCACCTACCCGAGGTGGACAATCCGGATGTGCTTCTGCATCCCTGAGGAGCTGCTGAGCACCTTGCCGCAGCTCTTCCACAAGCACTTGAACATGACCTTGGTGGAGTTCTGCAGGGGCAGAGACAGAGACAGTGAGGCTCGCGGCTCTCCCTCAGGGCCCACCCCACCCAAAGGCCCTCGCCTGGGCAGTGGCACGAACCCCCGGCCTGGGTGGAGGAAGGAAATGCAGTGTAGTGGTCTGAGCAGCTCTTCCTGCCAAAGGAGGACCCCTGGCAGACTGCCCCCATCCCCTCCTCGCTGTACCAGCGCCTACTGTCCCCCTACCTTCCTCTTCCGTGGGATGGGATCGCCGAAGAGGAAGTGGGTCGCCTCGGTCTCCTCTGTGCTGTCATCCAGCGGGGCAGCCGGCAGGAAGCTCTTGGCAGCATCGCTGGGAAGCGGAGGTGAGGGGGTGGACGGGGTCGAGCGGTCGCTCGGCAGGTCCCAGCTCCAGTCCCCGCTGTTATTGCTGCTGCTGCTGTAGCTGGACGACATGGCTGGACCGTCCTTCCAGGCCTCGCAGCTGGGCTCTGCCACGGGAGTGGAGGGAGAAAGGGGTCAGGTTTTATCCCCTCCAACACTTTCCTGGAATCTTAGGGGCTGAGATAACTTCGGGGCCAAGCAGAGGGAAGGGGAAAACTGGGGCACAACAGCCCCCACCCTAATGGCAAGCAACCCCCCGTGGGGTGGGTTACACCACCACAACAGCCCGGGGCAGAGGCAGGTAGATGCCTGTCCCTGACAAGTGAAGCAATTTTGATAGAGGCTGCTTTATTTCACAGGAAGCTCAGGCCCACCTGGGTCTCCACTGCCCTCAGCTCCAAGCCCTGGCCCAGCCCAGATGCTGGACCTCGCTGGAGGGAGAGGGAGCAGAGGTCCCGGGTCTGGCTAGAAGCACTGCACCCAGTCCTCGTGCCAGGCACGACTGAGCTCAGTGAGTCTGCGAGTGAGGGGATGGGACGTGGAAGCCCACAACAGCAGGGCACCAGACCTGATGGCGCAAGACATGCCTGCCAGTCCCCCATCCCATCAGCAGCCAGGTGCTGAGGACAGAGGTCCCCTGCAGGGGTCTTGCACCTTCCAGCAAAGCGCACAGTGCTGGCCCCTCTCAGACATGGGGGCACAGGGGAGCCCAATCCAGCTGGACCATCTGCACGCTCTTAGATGTAGTCTCGGGCCCAGAGGATGTCCCGTAGTGTCACCTCACGGGGCAGCAGTGCGTGCCTCATGTTCAACCTCGGACCCTGCCCTTTGCGGGCTCGGCTGTTACCTGGGCTGAAGGCGCTGGGCGGGTTGGCGAGCACTAGCGGGCTGGTGGACAGGCTGGTGAGGACCGCGGCAGCCATGACCTCGTCGATCCTGGCTTTGCCCGACAGCTTTCTGAAAGACAGAGGAGGCGAGATGACACCATGTCAGGGCACTGCCTGCTCCCGACACCCCCCTGCCATGCCAACAGCCCCAGATGGTCAGAGGAGAGCAGGGGCCCCTACGCACCCAGGACAGAGGGTGATTTAGGCCAGCACAGATGCCTCCTGGATCCCAGGCAGCTACATGGTGGGGAAAAGAAAGCAAGGGGCCCCAAAGAGAGATGGGGCATCTCAAAGCCTATGGCAGCAGCAGGGATCCATGCACCCACCCCTCCAAAGCTGGCACCTTTTTAAAAGCCCTTTGCTCAGGCAGCCTGCGACCAACCACACCAAACTAGTCACGGCTGTGAGGAGGGAAGGGGGAGCAGGAAGGAGCATGGGGGGGGCACTTTATCTGGGTCAGGGTTTAACTAGGAAAGCCTCCTGCCTGGGAAGGGAGCAAGGGGCAGAGAGAAACCTCGGGGGAAGCTGCTCCCTGCCCTCCGCTCCACTTCAACCCGCACTTCCGCTGCGTTGGGCCACGTGGCCCATCAATTCACCCCCCTCGCAACCCTCCTCACCACCCACAGCAGGCAGTCCTTGGCCATCCCGCTTTAGCAGCAGGGAAATCGAGGCACGGAGCAGTTAAGTGACATGCCACAGCGTGTCCTCGTCTCAGAGCACGAAACCCATCCACCCTCACTCATCAGTAGGAATTCGAACCCATGCCAAGCAGAGCAGTGCCCCCCACCCGACTTCCTGGGGTCCCGGTGCCAGCCCTGGGAGCAGGGCACTGAGGGTGGGGACTGCTGCAGAGGCCCCCATGGCACCCTCAGTCTTCCAGGCTCCCCGGAGCCCACAGCCGGCTCTTGGGGGGCCCTTCCCCAGCCTGTCAAGTTCAGCAGGTAATTAACTGTCCTGTTTCATCCTAACCGGGTCCGCAGGCGCATGGAGGGGCAGCAGACCAGAGGCTGGAGGGCAGGGCAGGATGTTCTGCTGGACCCAGAAGGGGAGACGAGAGCAGCGGGAGAAACGCTGGAGCTCCCCACAAAGCACCCACCTTCGTCTGGTCTGAACTAACACTGTGGGCAGGATGAATCCCTGCCTGCTGGCTGGGGGACGGGCAGCGTGCACTGGATGGCCCAGTGCCAGGCTAGTTAACTGTGGCGGCAAGAGCAGCGAAGGAGCTGGGCAGCTTCTCCCAAAGCGTTAAAGATGGTTTCTTCCCATCTTAAAATAGATGCGAGGCTGGCACAGGGGAGGGAGAGCGGGGAACCAAGCCTATTGCCGCTTTCCAAGACGCGAGGGTGACAACACAAAGCCCAGAATACAGACAGTCCTCGGACATATGACGCAACCGGTTCCTGAAAACCACGTCTTAAGTCGAAACGTTGCAATGCGGAACCGATTTTCCCATGGGAAACAATGTTATAAATGGGGGATCAGTTCCCGAACCGAGACCTGATACCCGATTTTCACCAAAAATAACTCAGAATTTTGTACTCGATCAATTATAGGAGTCATATAGCTACATTAATGTATTTGCATTGTAAATAGCAACCGTATGGATTTGGAAGGACTTCTCTGAGGTGACTTGGCTGGACTTTTCGAAGGGTTCTTGGCTCTGGGTTTTTCGGGAGTCTCGTCTGCTTTCTTAAAGAAAGCGTCCAAGGAAGTTTGGACAGATGTTCTCCAGGGGGTGGGCGACGCCAAATTTGTTCGCTGGCGGGGCACTGGATCAAGCGTCATAAAAATCAAAACTAACGTCGCAAAGTTGAAACGGTGGCAATTTATAAACGTCATAAGTGCCGTCCATTGCAACTCGAAATGTTGTAAGTCGAGGCCTGCCTGTGAACAGAAAGGGCTTCTGGTGGCACGGGCCTGAGCCCACCTCCCCTGCCAAGTCAGACCGAACACGGGGCACGGCCGTAGGAGGCTGCGAAGGGTCAGCTCCAGGGGGTTTAGAGGCAGCCACGGCAAGGGCTGGCACTCAGGTGTGGTCAATGCTTACCTGCCTGACTGCAGGCCGACCCAACCTCCCAGAGCCCCTAGGCCTCACAGCCCTCCCACGCTTCCAGCCAGGCACGGGCACCCTCCACACCCCACCATGCAGGATCTCCAAGCGTGGGAGGCTCTGGGCAGCCATGCCCGTCTTGGCTTCACCATGACCCAACATGCCTGGCACTAAAAACCAGACCACAGCTTCCCCTTGGCTCCTCCTTCCAGCTCCCAGAAACTGCGCCCAGGCTTCAGAGTGCCAGCCACAGGTCCCTTCCCCTCCTCGCTGCAGCCACGGTGGGGGAGAGCAGGGGACCAGCACCTGCTGCCTGATCCTCCCCACCGGCTCAAAAGCAGCCAGGAGAAGACAGTCGGGAGAGAACAGGCCAGGGTGGAGAGATGGATGGTGAAAAAACAGGCCGAGGGTGGACCTGGTGGTTAATCCACCTCCTCGGGCTCCCGGGTTCTACCGCAGCCCAGCACCGACTTGCCCTGTAATAAACCACACGGCGTTTTCTGCTCCAAGGTTAATATTTACCAGGGCGATACGGGTTTCCCAATCCCCACGGCTTGCCAGACAGTTGCCAGGTGCAGACACGGTTTGCTGCTGCCTGCCTAGGTCCAGACTTGCCCTGCCATCCCGCCCCAACCCTCCCACGGCACGGCGCGCTCCCGCCTCCGGCTACCTCTCCCCAGCTCAGACACCCGCAGCTGCCCACAGCCACCGTGCGAGTGGGTGCTCTAGGAAGGAAGGAGGGTGCTGGATAGCTTTCCAGCCTAGCCACTGCCAAATGCCCTCCAATGGGCCTTGCAACCGCCACCCCTTCCTCCCAGGCCATTGCAGCGTCCCCCACCAGAGCTCTGGGGTTCTAGGACCGGCTCGTAACAGCATGGGGGCAGCTCTACCAGCCGCTTCCTGTCCTCTCTAGGTTTCTCTGCTGCCCTAATCTCCCAGCATAACATCCGACATCCTCTCTGCTCCGCACTGGAGACAGAAAGGTAAGTTTGCAACTAGAATGCCTTCAAAAATCACTGCCACCATGCTACAACCTGGCTTGCGATACCCACCACGCACTTGACCCCCAGCCTCTGCCAGCAGGTTTCCCCAAGGCGCTCTCTCCCACACCTGGTCGACCCCTCTGATCTATTAGAGAAAGGTGCAAAGAAGAAGGGAGCGTCTTTCCCCGGTTCTTCTCTCCCCATTACCACCTTAGCCAAGAGCAAGCAGCCCAGGAGGGGCCTCGGAAGAGATTTACAGCCCCTGAAATTCTATCGGGGAAATAAAAATCAGGCACAGTACTGAGCACCCCGACAGCCACCACACCGGGCTCACATTTCCAGCACCCCACGTCCAGCAGGGAGATGCACCAGCCCTTAGAAAGGGAGCCTGGCCAGCTGGAACAAGGCACTGGAACAGGACGTAATAAGTTTAGCCGCAAGTTGTGCAATGCTATGGACCGGACTGGCAGGCAGCTGCACGGCGGGGCGGCTGCAGCTCCACGAAGCTTGGCAGGAGGGAAGAGACCGCACCGCGAGGCCCTGCAATTGGCTCCAGGGAGAAGCCATCCCTCACTTGTGATTGATGGGGCCGAGCCAGGCTCCGCTGACTGGCTGGGGTAAGGGGTGGAGGCTCGGTGCAGCCTGCTCAGCAGAGGTCGGATCTCAACCAGGCCAGATTTTAATCAGATGCATTAAACTAGGATAACGAGATGCATGAGGGCCGCTGGCTTCTGAGGAAGCAGCAAGCTAATTAGCATATGCCAGGTCCATGGCAGGATGGCCTCCCCCTGGACACACATGCCAGAAATGCCCCAGGCTGTAAGAAATGGCTCCAGGAGCAGTTTTTGAGGCTATGGAGGAAGGAGCTGGACTGCACAATTAGGAAGAACTGTCTCACGAGGCAGGTAGTAAAGCACTGGACCAGGTCACCCAGGGAGGTGGTGGAGTCTCTATCCTTGGAGGTGTTTAAGACCCGGGTAGACAAAGCCTTGGCTGGGAAGACCGAGTTGGGGCTGGTCCTGCTTGGACTAGATGTCCGAGGCTAGGCCCCTTCCAACCCTAATTGTCTATGAAAACCAAGGCCCTGAGTATCAGTGTCCCTTTGGCACACCGCCCTCCGACTACAGACCCTTCTCCCACGGATGCGCTGAGGCTGTATATTATTGAACACTTATTGGGGCTTATCCCAAAAGCAGCTGCCCAAGACTTCATTTGTGTTTACAACTGTTCAAACCCAACAGCAGATCCCAGGAGAAAGGGTGCCTGCCCTTGGTACACACCGGTCCATGTGCAAGAGTTGTAAACAGCACAGTAAGAGAGGGCATGGCAATGACTCTCTCCAAGACCACCAAGTCATCCAGCAGAGCCAGGGAGAGGCGGACATGCCATTTCTCACACTTCTATGGAAGAAAGGGATTTAAAGAGAGATATCCAGGTTTCTGACAAGTCCTTTGCAGGGACACCGCCAGCTTGAAGTCGAGACGTGAAGAAAGATTTCCTCCACTCCCTTCCTAGCACAACCCCAGATTAGCCAGCACAGGAGGAACTCACCCCTGAGCCCAACTTCTTGGGACCGAGACACACCTCGTCCTCCCTGCATCTCATCCAGCCCCATCACTACCGTCTAGGCAGCTCCACCCCCAGGGCCGGGCACGAATGCTGCAGAGAAGCGCATTTTACATCCGAAAGACACGCTGCCTCGAAGGAGAACATCTACCTGCGCACGGGGTTCGAGGACAGCCCGATGCAACGGGGGCCATGCTGGAGCCATGGACCTCCCAGCAAGCCTCAGTGAGGGGAGCTGGGATTCGCCCCGTCCGCGCCCTCCCGGCCCGCGCAAACCAGAGCAAACCACCGAGGAAATTTTTGTTTTTTTTTAACTAAAAAAATGAACAATTGCACTTAAGGGAGGGCCTGACACCTGGCCTATCACCGTCACTATGGAGACTGGTGGGCCAATAGCAAGGCAGTTGCCAGCTCGTTTGGCAGCTTCGTTGAGACCCAGCCAATCGCAAGCCCCTTCTCCCCCCTCCCACA